CTCATCCATATTTAATGTGTTCATTCATTAAGATAAATACATTTAACTCAATGCACAGAAAGTTAAGTTAACCAACAAGATTGTCAAGAGAACAATGTCAAAGTCAAGTTATATCATTTGGAGTACTTCCTTACTCTATTGCTTTCTAAGTGATCAACATGGAGTTTCATCCCTTTGAAAGAAGCAGGGGATTGTTGTAATACTTGGGTCTAGGCAGAAAGAAAAATTTAAAGCCCTTTCTGTTTGCTTCCCCTTTATTCTTGACCTATCTCGTACAGAGCTCCCAGACCAGTTGCTAACAGGCAAAGATGGTCTTGCCCACCAGCTGCAGAGAGGATGACATTCACAGGCCCTTTAGGGTGGGATCTACTTCCTCTTTTTCAGTGCTATCCTTTCTGGTCACTCCCCTGACGTTCTGTCGGGGGGTCCATAAAGATGGCTCCATTCCATCTTGACTAAAGGTCAGAGAGTTCAAAACTGTCCTTATACCTATATGTCTATAGTTTAGCTGCTACAGGATGTTTCAGCCTTGGTATCGGATGTCTTTATATAAATAACAACAGACTTAGGCTCAGGTGTGTTTTCTCTTGACCTGAATGCCAGATGGCAGGTGTGGCTACCAAATACCTGGATGTAAGGGAAGTTAGTCTGTTTACCCCTTATACATGATAATAGAAGTCTTCTGCCATTGTCCCCACTTTTGGTTGGGTACTTAAGATTGTTAAAGAATAAATTCAGGGAGTTCATCATTTTGTGTTCAGTATGGATTGAATGGTCCTCCTGACAATATTCCTGTGTCTCCATCTTGTCTCTTAACCCCCTTAGCTAGCCCTTCTTGGTCTACACTCCCCCTCTCAGGTACGAACTGTAGATTGCCCAGCTAGCTCCAACTGCAGCCCCGAAAAGACAGCTTCCCATGACATTTCTTGTCCCTCACTCTTCTTTGATGAACAGATACTGATGTGCTGGTCCTTTGTCCCCTGTCCATCACCACATACACATACCGATACTTTGCTAGTTCCAGCTACATTACATTTTTAACTAGGCCCTCATTTACAGTTAAGACTCTGGGAAGGTTTCCTCAAGGAAGCAAGCTAGGCACATATGAGATCTCACTAATTGGTCCCTTCTGGATTTTCCCATCACAACTATGTCTCATTCTATACTGGCATTACAACTGAAATTGGAGCAGTTTTCTTGAAACATTGAGAATGGTGGCTCATGACTGTAATTCCAGCCCCTTGGAGGTGAAGACTGAGGCAGAACAGAGTAATTGCTATGTGTTCAGAGCCATCCTGGGCTACACAATGACTTTCAGGTCAACCTTGACTGCAGTGGGAGCCATTGTTTTTAAACCATCCTCAACTGAGGCGAGGCATTTTGAACACAGGGATGATGCCACCTTTGCACGCTAATCACGGGATGTGGCATGCTTACCAACTCACCATAGTTGCTTTCTGCCTATTGCAAAATTCAAGATTTTTTTTCCAGCTATTTCTCAGCTCCCATGTTGGCTATCTGATAAATAATTCTAAAATTAGCTTTGACCAAGTCAGACAGGCACAAATACTTCACATGACATGAGTTACTTATAAAACACTAAGAATAGACACTATAGTGCCCCTCTCTGGCACATCAAGTAGGCAGGTGTTTAAAGTTTGGGACCTCCAAAGATGCAGAACTGATTGCCACTCAGTTTTGTACAATAAAAAGAGATATAATTGCATAAGAAAAAAAAAACTACTAAAAAATCATGGGTATCTAATGACTCAAGATCCAAAACCTTACATTTTCCTGGTTTAGTCCAGGTTGTGAAATCTCTAGAATCTTGGGCTAGCATCTATAAAGTTCAGTCACCAGTAATACTCAGTAGAGAAGGCAGGTGTGTTACATTCGGCCTAAGGGCTTTCCACCACCAACAGCCTGCAATCCTTAAACAGCATTCTGCCATCTGCACATCATTTTAGCTAAACAAAGCAAGTCATGAATAGGACTCTGACCCGCATATCCAACTTTCTGTGTGACATATACACCGGGATTCTGGCAGGATGCCACCACATGTAAAATCCTAGCTCTATTCAGGCGCTTCTGGAAACTGCTCCATCTCCATCATGGAAACTATGTTTAGTTGGTAATCTTTTTTCTTACAGCCATCACCTAACTCATGAGAAAATCACATTGGCATGCCCCCTTGCACACACACATACTCACACAAACACACACTCACACACACACACACATACACACACACACACACACACAGTTTATCACCTTCAATTAAGTATAATGTTTCCACAATCAACTTTAACTTACATTACTGTAATAACTTCCAAATTACACTCTTCCTTTTGCCTTTGATCCACAGATTTTATTCCTAATATATCAACAAGAAGAAGCCTGCTACAAACTAAGCCAGGCTGTGTCACTTCTGCTCCGGCTCTCAATGGCTTGTCTTATGAGGCCTTCCTGATCTATTAATCCTTCTACCCCAGCCCCTTGGCAAATGTCTAACCTCATCCCATGGCCAAGCCTTCCTCCTGCTTTCCCCACTGTTCACACCAGACACACTCCTAGTCCCCAACCTTCAAACTCACTTTTCTTCTGTCACAGCACCCTTCCTCTAACATCCACAGGCCTAGCTGAGGAAACACTCAAAAGTCACCTGCTCATTATGGACTTCTTTAGCTACCCTATTGAAAGTTTTTGTTTAAATAATTTTATGTCCTCTATATTTGAGAGGTGGTTAGAGATTTTGGGGACTATGCAATCTCCAGAGACTGAACCAGTGGTGGCACACAAGGGATACATAGGGAAAGAATGTGAAATTAGTTGCTAATGGGTGTCACTACCCTCTATTGATACTTTAGTGGTCAGGGGCAGATCTCCCAATTCCCAGCTCTGCTGAGACAAAATATATTTTGTAACCTCAATGTGTTTGTGATCTTCCAATTAGCAGATGGGGTGACTCCCAACTTTGTGATGCTTGGAATGGTTGCAAACACAGGGCATCAGAGCATGAAAGCTCTGAAGTCTGTGAGTTCACACAGACCACAGTCTGTCTCCTACAGGCCATGGGTCCCTGTTTTCTAAGTGGAATATGAAATCTTATTTAAACCCAATGTTCACACACTATGACAGGATAATTTTGAACTCAAAACCACCAGTATCAATTTGCATGAAGAAATCTCTAGATGAATATTTTAACATGTATGTTAAACAAATGAATTCAAACATTTAAAATGTTCGTTGCAACTCTAAAATTAAGACTCTTCAATATCACATTGAATATCTTTTCTCACTAGGTAGCAAAAATGAGATATGGCCAGAAAATATGAGGAACAGAAGGAAGGGAATGTGCTGGTCAACTGAGTCCTCTTTCTGGCCAGAGAAACAGAGAAGTGTTCCCAGCTCTAACCAATAGAAACTTAAATGCATACACACACATCACTACCATCACCACCAACACCACTACCACCACCAACAACAACAAGAATACCACCACCAACAACAACAAGAAGAATACCACCACCACTACCACCAGTAGTAGTAGTAGTAGCAGCAGCAGCAAAGGTCCTTTCTTTAGACCTTTCTTCAAGATCCTACACATATATCTGCCTGGAGGGAAACATCCTCCATTTCACTGCAGTGTTGCAATGTGACAGGCATATGTCTGTCACACATAAGCAGGTGACAGAAGAGCTGGGAACCCCACCCCCAAACAAACAAACAAACAACAACAACACTCATATTTCCTTTCCTCAAGTAAACTCAGAAATGAAATATGGTCTTTAGTAGTCTGGACCCTGGATCAGGACTCCTTGAAGCTTCTCCAAGTAGCTGGTGTGTGGGGTGGGGTGGGGGTATTCCTGAACTTCAGTCTCCTATAACTTCAACTTCTTTGCTTCTTCTTGGTCTGATCTCATAAATTTAGTTTGGTGCCTGTTTCCCAGGCTGCTCTTCAAATTAGCAGCTACATTTGAGATATTTGGGCATTAATGATGGTCTACCTCCAAAATGTCACTCTCCAGGCAAAGCAGAGATAGTGATTATTTTCAGTTCTGTAAACTCACCTCACACAGTTCTGTAGATAGCATATCCCAGCCTGCATCCCGCTAAGCTAGGCTAGTCCATGCTGGCAATTACAGTATTTGAATTAAAGATGCCCTTGGCCACCTGCCTTGTGCCTGCAACAAGTTCCCTTTTTTTTTATCCTATTTATCTTCACACTCATCTATTTGTGTCAAAAAAAGAAACATATGAGCACAGCATCTGTTACTAGAGTCACAAAATTACCAATACTTCTATAAGGGAAGAAATAGGCAATAAATCCAGATTACTTGTCAGGTGTTTAAGGAGGGAACATTAGTCTTGCAATCACGGTGTCTTGTTAAGCTGAGCATATGTTACTAACAGCAGATTCACCAGCTCAGCCTAGTCTGTGATGGGGACAGGCACGACAGAAATGTCACCTCTCTGTACTGACAAAGAAAAGCAACCCCCACCCCCAAACTCTAGTCCAACTCTCCCCACTCCGCACACGCCTATTAAGAAAAATGAAACATGTTGAACACACTTCCCTATTGGTTTCTTTACAGTTATAACCTATGTAAGTTCAGAATCTGGTTTTGGGGAAAAAAAATCTAACTTTCTCTGCCAGCTAACTCTGATCATACCCACTGGGATAGTAACTGGATTTCTTTCTGGATGCAAGCAACAGGTCTATGTGGTCCTACTAAATTAACCTTGTTGCTCGGTTTAAGTCTTCAGACTCCGGGTAGGGAAGAGGGAAGACAGGCGAGTGTTAGCGGCAGAGACACCACATGATGGGCACACCTGAACAAGGATGCTGACCTTCTTTCCAGACAAGCCCTGACATCGCTCACAGCCCCAGAATCTGAAAACTGGCCCCGAGGCATGCCCAGACCTGCTGCTTGGATCCAGTCCCCGCTGTACCCCGACATGCGTCCAGGTGAGTTGCGCCAGGGAGCCAACCCCCTTACCTGCCAGGCTGCCCGGCCTCTGGAGGGTAGCCGTGGCATACAGTTCCTGTGAATGCTTGCTGTACTGCTCGGACGCGTGGACCAGGCGCTTGGTGGGCGACAGGGTGGCGTAGGTGCCGATGGTGGAGCTCAGCTGGTGGATGGGCGAAGAGGAGATGGTGGACTGCACGGTGGGGGGCGAGGTCACGCGGATCGGGGACAGGCCGGCCGAGGACACGACGATGTTGATG